GAAGTTTTATTGAAATGTGATAATTAGTACTTGAGATATCAGTGGAAAAGCCGAAAATTGATTAATCATTATGCAAATTAGGTAATTAATATTGCACAGATTTTTACCCAAAACTAATCAAATCTGCGCATTAGTTTGGAGCATCTGTGTGCCAAATTTCATCAAAATCCAATGAGTGGTTCTTTAGATATCAGTGGAAAAGTCATGGAACAGCTAAAATCAGCTAATTATCATGCAAATTAGGTAATTAATATGCATAGATTTTTACCAAAACCTAATCAAATCTGCGCATTGGCCCAGAGCATCTATGCATCAAGTTTCATCAACAACTAATGTATGGTTCTTGAGATATCAGTGGAACAGACGGACACACATACACACACACACACACACACACCCCCACACACACACATACAGACAGACACACTAACTGCAAAGACTCCCTTTTTGTGCTTCGCACACGGGAGTCAAAAATGAGGAACATCATTTAATATATTGTAATGTCCATATAATGTCCAATTTATGTACCAAGTTTGAACAAAATCCATCTGTGAACAGCAGAGATCTGGTTCCAGAATGCCAGTAATGCTTGATTTTGATGATTTTTCAGGCCAAGTCTAAGATATAGATAGATTCAGAAGCACAGACACACAGATGTATGCACAGAGGTCAATCCATAAGTCCTTGTTTTCGGACTGCATCTGAACTGGGACTACAAAAATGGGAGTATGGACCTATTTTTTTATATTACTGTATGAGGATTATGGAGTTAATATATGGGTGATTTTTTAACTCTAGGTAATGAAACAGTGCCTGGCATTACATTTTGTAAAGAGAAGATAATTTGCTCAGTGCTAACACATGGGCAATAGAATGCGTTAACATGCAGTCACTTTGAACTCACTGTATTCAAGAATCTGTATAGAGCAACCCTAAACCAACTCTAACAAGTTGTTCATCTCCAATCCATATTGTAATGAAAGTAATATCTCCAAATTGCCCCCCCCCCCGAAACATGTAGCCAAAACATTAACAATGTATCAACACTCCAAAATGCACAGAATTTGATCTGATAGTGTTTTGTCTAAACAAACTCAAGCCAATCTGCACACCTGTACTTGCGTTGCTGTTATTATTAGATTAAGTAAATAACTTTATTAATTTTGTATCCTTATTGGAATCTTGAAAATAATACAATAAAGTATGTTGTTTAAATAGACAACAGCGAGCTAAAAAATAACAAACCAAAGTGAACAATTAAAAAATTGTAAATGTAAAATTGAATGATTATTTTTGGGCAGCTGGTGGTTTTTTCATGGCAATATCTTTGCAGTTAAAACAGTTAAAAATAAATTTGGCATAATCAGTGATTCCTTTGTTGTCGGTAGAGGTGAGAATTCAAGTTGTTATCATGATTTCCTCCTCAGCTACATCAGCTGAGGATAAGTTATGTTGAGCGTAGTCTAAGTCTTACATTGTAGGTATTTTACTTGACAGAGATTGTTATAGTATTTTTGTTTTCAAAGTTATTTTTGGCAGTTCATTTGAATACACTCACTACAAGTTGTTGTTTTTTTGTAGACAATCTGCAACAGGAGAGGTCGATCCCCATAATATCCAGATCTCTGAAGCCATAAATCACAGCTAGCACTTACCATGGACACCATCTCTACTACAACTTCTTATTTTCCCAATAAATATCTCATCTAAGAATGGTCGGAATACAATATAACGAAAACAGACTTTTGTGTGTGAAGCTCCATCCCCAGGAAATAGATAAGAATCTTCTAGTTTGGTAATATCGTGTAAAGCTATGCACAAACCAACATTGTGAACAACCTGACAACGAAAGGCACAAAAAAAAAGATTATTGCTATTGGCCATTGAGGGCGGTATAACTATTGTACTGCTTAATATCGTTATTATTTATTTGTTTATTATGCTTATTTAACACACTATACTGCACGGACTCGAGAAATTACAGAAACAGGGTAAATTACAGAAATAGATCTTTTCGTAAATAAAGCAAGTCACAGTTTTAGCAAACATCCATCAAATCTTAGTGCATGTATTCATGATGAAATTTATTTTTATTATTATGAAATTTATTGTTATTTGTATCGCTTAATTTTGAAAACAAAACAAAAACACTCACCTTATTTGCTAGTTTTTTATTCAGCTCTTCTGCAATAGCATCGTTAAGTTTCAGGTGAAACTGCCACGGTTTGATCCGCACAGTGTCTGTCATTTCGGAAAGCACAAACATGACTGCAACGGAAACGCAAACAATTGCTTCGGATAACCTGATTAATAACAACTTAGAAGAGATAACTGATGTGTTCGTTCATGGGCAGCTCTTAAAGTTCGGGATAGTCATCCATTGAGAGTTGCTAACAGTGCTTGAATGAGACTCAGTTGCATGGTCCATGGACCAGCTGATGTTTCAGGATCGCCGCAAAACGTTTCAAAATCACGACATTATGTGCGCCTTTATGGAGTCCAGAAACTATTTTTTTGCACTAGAATGTTAAATTTGATTAATTTGCATTTTGTTGCTCTCAAACTAACAATTCAACTAAAAATATAAAGAAATAACTTTAAAAAATATTGATTTTTATTACTTTGCGTTGAATATCGCAAAACCCTGATTGTTGAGCATGCGCATCAAGAGTGCGTTTCCAACATGGCAGCCTGTTATGTTGGAAAGTGTATCTCCGTTTTTATAGTTTCTTTTCTGTTGTACATTCCAACGATAAAGATATATTCTAGGAAGATCGACGATGGAGGATGGTAAGCTCACGTTGTTTAATACTTTACTAATCACACGTCCACTGATCTGAATTATTCAACAATAACACGGAATTGGCGTCTGCTACTCGAGGTTGCAGTGTTGTTTACGTTTCATCACGCTTTACAAGTTCAGTGACACGCACGTGTTAAAAAAATTTATGCTGTTTTAATAATATTTAAAAAAAGAACATTCCAACAAGATTCTAAATGCACCATTATAGCTGATTTCCTTGGGATGCGGAAAGATATTGCATTGTACAGTAGTATCTCATATCAGGTAACAGTGACGACGTGGCCCAGTGTTACTGGTGAACTGCAGAAAACCATATTGTCCCATTTTATTCAACGCACAGTCAGCATAAGGAATTATTATACTAATCCACATTATTTTTAAAATTAGAATGTAATCACTGATCGTGGCTGATCTCACATTACACTAGCTGTTCCCTTACTATTGATCAGAACATATAGCTATGTGGAAAGGTGAATTGTTTCTTGAGATATTATGCCTGAACTCAAATTGTTTTCTGGTGACCAAATTATATGTATTCATTAATTTCAATACAGAAAACAAATGTATACAATATTATTTTGTGAAAGGTGACAATTAAAAGTTGACTATGGCATTTAAAAACATTGCTATATAAACAGATCACCAACACCATTTTTCCCTTTGCTATATTCCATATAGGCACACGAATGAAGATGATATTATTGCCACAGTAGGACCTTGTAACGTGGAAATTAGAGATTCATCACTTAGCTATGATGAATTTATAAAAAAGTAAGCATACTGTACATTACTGTACTTTGAATTGGTCACTGCACTGGAGGCACAATATTGATTATTATTCTCTTGTATGTTCCTTGCAAGGTACATACATTATGATTACCAGTAGAAAAGAGAATTAAATTTACTATAATCAGTGTGTACTGATCATTGTGTGATGGTTGAAGGATGTGTGGTTTTATTGGTAGCGGAAACACATTGTATAATTAATTCTACTATTTTACTCAGGCATATTTGTCATCATATTCACTTCCTATTTACGCTGTCAAATGAATGAAACGAACACAAAGAAACACAGATGTGTCATTATAGCCATCACCCCTGTCAGTATTTAAGAATAGTTGGTTCCAAGTATGAAGAATTTTGAAAAATGGGCAAAATATAAAAAAATGTCTATTTATTAGGAAATGCAAATTCTAAATATGGGACGATTACGTGGGTAAGCGTCCTCTAATAAAAACAAACATGAAAGCCCCCAGGATTTGAAGCTAAATTTATTCTAAAGTTTTTGGATTTGGCATTCCCATGATGTATCCTTGGGAGTAAAAGATGTATAATAATAAGGTTATTATGGGGATACTGCAAAGTATGCACTCAGGCAGTACGCTGTTGCATCGCCCTCTGCTGCGCGTCCGGTTGATACTCTGCTGTACTGTCTTCGTACATACTTCTCGGTATCATCGTAATAACCTCATATTATCACTTTAAAACTTTTTCCATCAAAAGTACTCAGTCAGTCAAAATACTAGGTATGTTTTCATTTTATCTCAAGTTGTAATTACGAGATGTAATAAAATGCCATAGTAATCAACTATGTACAAACTGTTGTTTTTATTATACATGTATCAACAAATACCATAGTGACCTTTCAAATCCATATTTTTATATGGTACAAGTCAACCCTTATATTTTCAATATTAACAGATTTGTTCATAATACTAGTATAACCAATTGTTTGTTTTATAGATATGCATATTCATATCCTGTGGTGCTAAAAGATGTCTCCGACAATTCAGTATGTATTTTAATTTTTTTCTACCAAATTAAATTCCAAAAAAATGTTACAGTAACTTCATGCATGAATTTTTATAAATATAAAAAAAAAAATTAAATCTATTTCAGAACTTCAGCTGTGTTACCATGTTCCTATAAAATGGCATTATGGCTTCAACCAGACCTAAAACACCTTCAGAGAAACTAAGTTTTCCTCAAAGTTACAAAAATTAGCAAATCAATCTGGGCCAGTGACTCTGCCCCCCCCCCCCTCCCTCATTGAGTTGGTGGAGTACTTGATCAAATCAATCATTTCAACCATAGGTCTAGCGCTACAGTTAACCACTATGCTATTACTGATCAGTAAAATAAAAGGTTAATATGATATGGATTGTATTTTTTAAATGAAGGCGATACTCATAGCATATGAAGTGGGAATATGGACAAAGTAATATTGTTTATCCATGTTTTTCAGCTTTTTAGAGAACTCTGCACTAAAGAGAATCTGTTGCAAACATTTGGTAATAAAGAAGTAAAACTGAGTACTGCTAACACATACTCATATGAAAAAGGTAGGTATAATATGCACAGGCACTTTGTGATGATGTTGTTGGATGTCCACCTGTTCTCAACAAGTGACATGTGTTAATAATTTGGGTTTCGTGTGTACCAGCATATGCGTGTCTAGAATATAATAAGAATAATTGTTTAATATATAACAAATAAAATATAACAAGTTAGTAAGAAGAATTTAAAAAAGGAAATACAGTATAATAAGTTAAAGCGGGAGGGTCGTAACCTGTGCACGTGCGAGAATTGAGTCCCAAGCGACAACACACACTAAAAACGCAAAGGCTATACGCTTGTATGTATAAACAACGACACACTATGGCCATCTGACGCATACACAGGTGACGACTACCTCGCTTTAAAATCAAGTGTTATATGTGTTGGAATGTCATGACAATGAATTATGTGACATGCTTAATTGACGCTTTGTCTGTTATTTCCATTAAAAATTGAAATTTGTCATTATTACTTTTAATTTTATTTGGGAGTATGATATGTGACAACAAATGTTGTCGTAATGTCATGTATTTTGGACAAACTATGAGTTAATGTTTTTCATCTTCTACTTTATGCGTATCGCAATGTAGAAAAATTTCTGTAATGTTGTTTTTGGGCCTGTGTATCTGCCTGTTTCTTTTGGATTTTGAGTCTACGATTGTTTCCTCTGTATCATACAATGAATTCCGATTAATTTGTGTCAATATGCCTTTTATTGTTGACATCCAAATTTAACTATTATGTGAATTTTGTGTTCATTGTATACCCATTTTGTTATATTGTCTTCTGGAAGTTCCCGTAGTCTTAACCAATTTTTAAACATGGAAGTATGTACTTCAGTCAGTAATGGAAAACTACCAATCTCACTTCTACAAGATGCATTGCTAGCATATTTGTTCAGTCCCAGAATTCTTTTACGGTATTTAAGATGTATTTTTTCAATAGCATTTCTATCCCATTTTGTAAAATCAATGATCTTAAAAATTACTTTTAAGATCCAATGTTGTCTCTTATGTTATGTAATTACTTGACAATGTTTTATTTTTTTCATGTATTAAAAGTGTCTTTGCATTACCAAATGAATATACACAGGTAAAACAAGTAAAACAGGTACACACATTTAAACCACGGTAAACAGTTTTTTTGTTTTTAAAGTGACAATAGCTGTGACTTTCAACATTTTGTTTATTAATATAACCACATCTTACTAAATTATTGTTTTAGTTACAATCGCATGGCAAAGTAACCCTACACAAGAAATGTTATTTTTTTATTAAAAATTAAAATCAGAGAATAAAAAAGATTAATAGTTACAGCTATTGTTACTTTGAACAAATAGTTATTTCTAGTAGTCTGCACGTTGTCATAAGCAGACTGTCACCTCACATAATATCTTGTGTTATTGGTACACATCATTCATTTTGTCAGAGTTGTTCTTGATTAAAAAATGCAGCTTTGATTTCAAACTTGGGGCTACAGTAATTTTTAAGTTGTGCTTGATGATACATGTGTTATGAACAAATCTCAATTTCCAATGCTTTCAGTTTTGTATCATATGTTATGTATATTTTTTACAGTTATCGTTCCTTTTTCGAAGTATGTAAATGAAATATTGAAACCTCAGAAGTTAGATGCACTTGGCAATGGTAAGAATTAATGACACCCTGTATCTAAATAAAGCATTCTCCGATAGTAACAGCAATCCAAGATGTCATTTTTAGCTGCTGTCAAAAAAGCTGATTTTCCATCATTGCTGTCAATTTTTACAAATTAATTTTAGGAACATTTTTAGTAAAAAATGATATTTGTGACTTCTTCTTGAAACCGGCTTGCCAACTTGTCTTGATATATTTTCATGTAGTTACCGGTATCTTGGGTGGACCTTCATTAGATTTGTTCATTTTGTGATGTTGACTTCCATTCTCTAATACTGGTCAATACTTTTGTAATTTTTAGTTAAAAAAAGGCTCTAACTGAAACTGTTGGCTGCCAGAGTATGCTTTTCAAACAATGGAGCTACATTAACTGTGGGATGCACAGACTCGGTGATGTGTTTAATGCTGTGACATGGGAACAAGAAAACTCAGCTGTTTCCTATTTAAGAACATTTTGCAAATAGTGCAGCATAAACATTTCTATGCACACTTGAATAACTTTTTATTCCCCGTTCGGACGTAGTCCGAAAACGGGGACTTATGGTTTGCCCTGTGTGCGTCCGTGATTACCTGTATCTCGAACATGCACTGACCGATTAAGTTCAAACTTCTCTCATACATCACACATTATATGGGACATATGCACATGCATTTTTTTCATGATCCAATTAACGATAGCCGAATAACGGCCATTTTAAGGCCAAAAATGCATCAAAATCACACATTTTCACCATTCCGAACCCGGATCTCAGTTATGCATGGACGGATTTTGTTCAAATTTGGTACATACATTTAACATAATAGGACCTTGATGCACATCATTTTTTTGGGGATCGGGTTTGAAATGGCCAACTGGCGGCCATTTTGTTTTAAAGAATTCAGTTCTGGATCCGTATCTGAGACATGCCTGGATTGATCAAGTTCAAACTTCACACACACAAGGTACATCATGTCACAAATATGTATGTGCATTTGTTTCATGATCTCATTAACGATAGCCAAATGGCGGCCATTTTAAGGCCGAAAATGCATTGAAATCGCACACTTTCACCATTCCGGACCCGGATCTCAGTTATGCATGGACGGATTTTGTTCAAATTTGGTACATACATTAAACATAATAGGACCTTGATGCACGTCATTTTTTTTTTCGGATCAAGTTCGAAATGGCTGACTGGCAGCCATTTTGTTTTAAAGAATTCAGTTCTGGATCCGTATC